GGGGGCCGGGGGGGGGGGGGCGACCCAGATGGCGAGGCGAGGGTACCTTGGTGCACACAGGTGTGGTAGGGGCTGGCTTCTTTCTCTCAGGGTGGGAAGCGAGGTGAGGTGGTCAGGTGCTGGGGGCGCACCATGCTTGCCGGGGGAGTTGGCACGCACATGATACGAACAAGGGGAGTTTAGGGATGGACACAGGAAAGGTGCCACTTACGGAGCCTCGTCTGGCGGGCGTGCGGGATGGATGGACGAGAAGTTGATCGGGCACTTGGAGGTGGGTTTTCCGTGGAGCCCGACATCTTTTTAGGTGGAACCATTGCGAAGGAGGGACATCACTGACTGTGGTTTTTAAATCGAGAGCCGGCGAAGTGAATGATTTCTGGGTCTCAGACACTTCCTAACGTCTTTTGTTCGCTGTGACAGCTCTTTTACCCCCTGATGTGTGAGTGCACGTGTGGCCTGCATTTCATGGTGTCGCTCTTTCGGGTGCTCATCTGCAGGAGTAGGCACTGCTTCATGTCGGGATGAGGACTTGGGGTTTTAGAGACGTGTCGGATGGCCAGCGCTCGGGGTCTTCTCTTAATGCTGGACGTACGTTTGCGTATTTGAGTGTAGCGTAGCTCTTACTGTCAGCTTTGGTTATATGATGTGTTTAACACCAATTTGGTTTCCTGAGTTTTCAGTCCGTAGTTGGGAAGAAGTCATCTGATGAAAACATGTGTTAATGGAAATGTAAGATAGTCCACCAAGTGATAATTAGAATGCTGACAGGATCCCCAGTTTTCTTCCTATTATAAATGTTATTCAGCCATAAAAAGAATCATGTCCCGAGACAAGGTACAACGTGTAGGAACCTTGAAAGCATGCTAAGCGCAAGAAGGGAGGCACAAAGGGGGCAATCTTGTATGATTCCATTCATGTGAGGTAGCTCGTCGCCAGGTTATCGGGGTGGGGCGGGGGGAGGGTGGCGAGCAGTTGCTGACTGGGCACGGGGTTTCTGTTTGCTGCGATGAGAAAGTTTTGGAAATTGATAGTGGTGATGGTAGCACAACACTGGACTGTTAACGAAGGCCATTAAACTGTACACTTAAACACGGTTAAGAAGGCAACTTTTACATCATGTATATTTTACCACAATAAAAAAATCACTTAATCGTTGTCTGGTACCCCGAACAGTGATGCATTTCTCCTACGTAAATGATGAGCCTTTATATTTGTCTCTTGAAAGAAAAGGCTACTCTGGTGGGTGTCGGCGAGAAGGATCCAGGCAAAGGCGGAACGTGCGTTAATGTTTAAAAAAGCAGCATCGGCCTTTCCACCCCCACTGACATCTCCCCTTTTCTCCTCCACAGCCTTTTATAACTACGACGCCCGGGGAGTGGACGAGCTTTCCTTACAGATAGGAGACACCGTGCACATCTTAGAAACGTATGAAGGTGCGTATCCAGCGGGCGTCCCTTCTCGTGATGTTCCGGGCGCTTGGCGGGCTTCCCAGTGCCCGTGGGCAGAGCGTTCCCTGGTTACGCAAGCGCGCATACTCGCGCTTCCTCGTGCGGTGGGTTTTCTTGCGTGGCGGATGGCCAGGTAAGGACAGTAGTAAGGCTGTTCGCTATTTGATGAAGGCTTTATGAAGATGAAACTAAAACGGAAAATTCCCTTTATTCAGTGTACTGGTTCTTGTATGGGCCCTGAAACTGCAACTCTGGCGTATTAGGACAATGCTCCAACCAAGTGAGCTACCCAGCCAGGGTAAAAAAAAAATGCCTTTTTTTTTAACCTCTAAAATTTTTTTGTTGAAAAAACTGTTTTCATTCAAAACAAAACAAAAAAACACACCTCATTGGTTCCTTTTTTGCAGATGCATGTCATTCCTCACTGATACTAACCGAAAAAAATTTAAAAAATACATTAAGATAGGTTAGTATTTAAGTCACTGTTTTGAGGTGTGTGATGGGAATGGAGACTTTTCTATGCTCTCGCTTCGATCTGTCGGTAACATCCTCAGGGGAACCAGCCTTGTCGGTTCTTACTTCCTTTTCTTTTTTAAATCCGTGACCCCGTTTTCTGAGGAGCAACAGGGACTGTCAGAGCCGCGCGGGGCGGGGCCCAGGGGGCGGCGGCTCCGGTTACCCCAGAGATGAGCCCCCAGAGATGAGCGGGTGCTGGGGGGCGGCCCAGGCCCTGGTTCCCCAGACCATTGTTTTCCCTGTGGAGTGTCTCATCGTAGATTAGCTGGCACTGTGGTTACTGCTGCACCAAGAGAAGCAGTGTCAGGCTTGGCTTTTACGTTCTTCAGATCCGGGAGTTTGGTAAGATGGAGTTTGAGTGGTTGGCGGCTTTATGTCCTGCTCGAAGGGGTGGCTCCCAAATAGCAAAGGAACCAACAGGAGCGATGAAAACCAAACGTTTCAGCAGCAAAGTTGCTTTCAGATTGGGTTTAGCCAAACCCTCGGCTAGCCACTCTTCCACGTTTTGCCCGGAGGTGTGGTTCAGTGGTTGAGCGTCGACCTATGAACCAGGAGGTCAGGGTTCAATTCCCGGTCAGGGCACAGGCCTGGGTTTCGTGCTCGATCCCCAGTGTGGGGCGTCCAGGAGGCAGCCGATCCATGATTCTCTCTCATCATGGATGTTTCTTTCCATCCCTCTGTCCCTCTCCCTTCCTCTCTGAAATCAATAAAAATATTAAAAAATAGATTAAAAAGAATCTTCCAGGGTTTGTTTAGAATCCTCCACTCTTTGTAAAGACCTTTCATGGGCAATGAACCCCCTTATTTTGGAAACCGCCTTTGGGTTTGAGTCAGAACCCGGTCGGAGGAAGGCGCCTGGGGGGAGTTTGGGCCCCGGGAGACGCGGCGATGTTATTACCATCACACGGAGGGGGACGGTGTTTCTGCCCGATCCTCGTGTTCTGTTTGCATTCTGCGCAGCGAGTGAGGGTTCGGTCTTTGCCCCCGCGTTCCTTCCCCCCCTGCTCCCGCTTTTCCTGCATGAAAATTTATTTCTGTTTGTCAAATTTGATTTTCTTTCGCTATGTGATCCTTCTCAGGATATTACTGAGATTGCTCCAGAGAATATAAAATTTCGCAAGGATCGCTCTTTATATTAAGTTTCAAAAAAACGAATTTGCCCTCAGGCGATGATTAATTTCTGCGTCTCGGGCTTCTGAAGGCTGGGGACTCCGACAGGAAAAGGAAGTGTAGGTCCCTGGAGGTGGAAGGAGCTGTGAGGGGCCGTGGAGGACACCCCTGCCTTTAGAGTGTCCAGGGCCAGGCTGACCCGAGATCACAGAGGCGTAGGAAGTGACTCTCGCGTGGCCGCGGACGTGCCCGGCCTGCTGCCCACTCATTGCCATCAGGATCCCAGGGGCTGCATGCTGACCCCGAGGGACGCGCAGGCATTGCACGGAGATCGGGGCGTTATTATTATTATTACTTTTTTTGGGGATTATTCTTTTGATGAAACCACAGTCTCTGCTGCAGCAAGATTCGGGCTTTGCCTCCTGCTGGTCTGAGGGAGCCCTCCGCCTGGGAGCTCTCGGAGAGCAGAGGCTGGGTCTGATCTGCCTGCAAGCCGAGCTCTGCCAGCGCGGTGCCTGGCGCACGGCGTGTGGGTGCAGGCGCTGGGAGGATTGGCGACGGTCCTGGGAGGAAACCCCCGGGTTTGCTGTGCTCAGGAAGGCCGTTAAAAGATGCTCTGCCGCTGACAGGCGAGCAGAGGAAAGGTGCCCGCTCACTGCCCCCCTCCGCGTGGAGAGCCTGCGGCCGTGTGTGAGTGGGTGTGTCCGCTCCTGGCCTTCCCCGACGGCGGGCCTCTGGTTTTTGTGGACGTGAGTGTGGTCCTGCTCCCCGTCTGCTCCTGCCTGTGCGGAGGTGCACTCCTGCCGTCTCGGGGTACCCGGTCCGCAGCTCCCGCTGCTGGTGGGCGGCCCCACCTTGCACTCTCTGCCCTCCGGGTGCCCCCACGCCTCCATTTCCCACCACCCCGGTCCCCCAGCCCCGAGCTTCCTGCCTGTGGCCACTTCCCGTTTCTGAGCTAATTCTGACACCCCGGTTTCTAAGGGTTGCCTTCGGTGCAGTCTGAAACCCGGCGTGTGGTCACCGTGTGGGGGTCGGCCCAGCACGCACCTCCCCGTGCCGGCGGGCGTTCGGGCTCGGTCCTTGGGCTCCTGCGGGCGGAGTTGCATGTGAGCTGAGTGTGTGGCCTGAAGTGACTTCAGGGCGACGGGGCTGAGGAAACACTGACGTCAGGCTCTGTGGGGTGCTGGGGGGCTGGGGGGCTGGTGCTGCCTGGACCCAGGCTTTTGCAGGGACAGCCTCTGCTCTCAGCCCAAGGGCGGTGCCGAGGGTGTGGTCCGGTCTGGCCCCGCTTTGAAGGGACTCTTCCCTTTAGTGCGGAATCCTGCCAACAGCTGCCCTATGTCCGCCTCCGCCCTCGCTGCTGTCTTTCCTCCCCACCCGGAGGGATGGGGACTTGAGTGTGTGCCAGGCCCCGAGGGGGTCGGGCCGGTGCCTGGGCTGCTGCTTCCTGTCGGGGCCTTGGCCACAGAAGCACTTTGTAAGTCCGTCGCCGCCCCGGGGCCCAGCTCCTCGTCGTGGAAGCGGCAGGAAGTCCGCTCTCAATGGCACGTCTGTTGTGGGGCAGCTCTGATCCGAGGATGCCGGCGTTAGCACTTGGCAGTGACCCCAGCGCAAGTCAGACAGAGGGAGGGACGGGAGGACGCATTCTCAGGAGGCTGCTGAGTGGGCACAGGGTCCTCCTCGGAGCGTGCTGCTTAGCCTCGAGCGATGTCCTCCAGGCCCCTGTGGCAGATGGCGGGGGAGGAGCGGTGGCTGCCCGCTCAGGCCCTCCCAGGCCTCCAGCATGGTCTGCGGGCAGCCCCATCGCACATCCCAAAGCGTTGGGATCGTTCAGTCCTGGTGGCTTCCAGGGTCAGCAAAGCGATGCGAGCTCCTCCGCGTGCGGTGTCAGGGCCCCAGGACGCCTCCTTGCACTAACTCTCCCCTTTGTGTTTGTTTAGGCTGGTACAGAGGTTACACCTTAAGAAAAAAGTCTAAGAAGGTAAGTCGTTCTTCTCATTGAACCCAGCGCACGTCCCTCCGTACATCACCCCGTGAGAGGAAATCAGTTCCCTCTCGTCCCTGTCTACGCCTTTTCCTCATGCCTCCTTCTCGAAAAAGTCTAAGAAGGTAAGTCGTTCTTCTTATTGAACCCAGCGCATGTCCCTCCGTACATCACCCCGGAGAGGAAATTAGTTCCCTGTCGTCCCTGTCTACGCCTTTTCCTCATGCCTCCTTCTCTGAATTTAAACTCTGTGTGGGCTGCAGTGCGGACCGCCCTCCAGCGTATTCTGGCCAATGAATGTGTGTGCGTAGGAACTGCAGCTGCGTGTCCCCGAGCGAATTGCTGGGCTGTGATAGGCTGTGACCTGTGAATCCTTTTCTTTTCCTGGTAGAATTTTGGATCCTCGTTCAGCAAAAGAACGATCTGGGGAGAAAGACTTCAGAAAACAGCAGCAACAGAAAGCGGAGAACGGGCCCTGATTTTCAATGGCGTATCATCCCCGATGACAAATGGATAGATTTGCGAGGCCCACGCAGGCCTGCTTTTCTCTGAATCACGCCCGTTTTATGCCGCTGTGTTGCTCGCAGACGAAGGCGCCTCTGCGCCCTGGGCAGTCTGCACGCGTGGTGTGTGTGTGAGCCTCCAAGGCCGAGACCTACCATTACGGCTCGGTCTCTGTGGCGGCCACTCCCACGCTCGGTCCTGTGCGGCCTCTCTGTTCTTAGCTCCGTGAACCCAGGGATGGCTCTCCTGTGTCCTCCTGTGATGTGGAGTCCTCCCGGCTGTGGTCAGGCCGGCCACATTCGCTGCTGCGTGCTTTCATGCCTAATTATGCTTGACAGAGGGTTCATCTTACTTCTCTTTCCTAACCTTGCCTCTCATTATCTCCTGACTGGGCTGGGCTCCGTTCGCGGTCCGGAGCCTGTAACCACGGCTTCCGAAGTCAGCGGCTCCAGCCAGGCCTTCCC